TGCGAAACATCCCTGTTTCAAATCTCTCTAATTGAACGTCCGCGGCGAGCGTGGACCATATCCGCGTAACATTTCACTTGCAAATTAAAACACCTAACGCCCGCTCGGAAACAAAGAGATAATTACATTTATGTATACAAGCGCGATCATATCCTCCGGCGGAAGATCGCGCAGGGGTGATATCTGGGATTGTTTCTCGGGAAAACATATCGACCATATCCCGGCGTTTATCTGTCAGCTGAGACTACGCACCGACGTGTTCGATGTCATTCGCTGCTATCTTGATAGGAGTAACGAGGATGGTTAGAGCGGGAGGGAAAAAGAGAAAGAAAGAGAGAAAGGAATGAGAGATCGGTAAACGAAAGGGGAACGAGAGACCCGTAGAGATCCTCGAGAAACTTTCGAACTAAATGAGCTCTGTTCAGGCGTATATTTCGCCAACGAGATTCTCCATTTTCCATTCTCGGCTACGCGATAGCAAAAGTTGAAAATGGCCGGCCATTGCGAGCATCCTGCGCGCTTTTAACCAGGCTTCGACCTTCTACTCGCTTCCACCCGCCTGCGTGTATATGTATACATATATATATGTATATATATATATAAAACTTGCGCGTGCGCGCGCCCGCGTTCCCGTAGGACACGTCCGTGTTTGTGCGCGCGTGTACTCTATGTAAACGAAATGTACACCAAGTAAAAAGGCGGGCAAACTTTGCCGAGAGGCATCGCGGCACACGCTTTTACCTACCGACTCGACGTAACCCGGTTCATTTCCCGTCCACTTTATATGCAGATTCTCCCTCTTTCTCTCTCTGTCTCTCTCTTTCTTTTTCTTTCTCTCCTTGTTCTCCCTTTTATCCTATTTCGCCTCTTCTTTCTCCTGTTACCTCTATTATACCTGTGTGTTCCCTTGTACTTGAAACTAACTATCGCGCGAGTTGTGCTAGCGCCATCCTCGCCCTTCTTGCCCCTCTTAATACGGGGCTGCCGTTCCTTTGTTTAATCTCGCGCTTGAATCTACATAAGAACGTTAGAAGGATTCTTCTCGACGTTTCCTCTTTGTTCGGTCATTACATACATTATTTGATTGCTATTATCGCGACTTGCAGGCAGGTCTCCGAATCGTTCAAATACGATTTTACATCGCATATCGATCATTTTTTGATATTATATGACATATTACACTAGTCCGATACGTATCTTAGTTTTGCGTGTAGATGATCCCTCTTTTCTCTCCTTCAGCCCTTTCTTATATCATTTGCATATTCTGCCGTCCCACGATAACTCGTAAAAGTCAGATAAGAAAAAGACATGTCGCATTTTCCTATTCCTGTCTTTAACTCAAGTCAGCGAGACTTAATTCTATTGTTTATTGTTGTGTGTGCGATAAACACACGAGAATTTTAAAGAAAATTTTCCGTGTGTTTGCATTCAACACACACTATCGTAAATTAACGTTATTTCGCATTTGCATTTTAAAGAAGATGTAATCGTAACACAAGATCAGATAGTTAATGATTTTAACGAGATTATTATACGGCTTGTTGTAGTTTTTAAGCGAAGAAGAACAGTTTTGATTAGAAGTGATCTTATCAACGTGTTAAGGTATTAAATATAAAATACATCGGCAGGAAACTCGCAAATATAATTAAGCAACAATTACAATTTGTAATAATGGTGATTTGTTTAACTTTGAATTAATTTTATGTTTGTCATTATATTTGCCACATCTTTAATAGTCGCTTTAATAACATGTAAAGGGAGCATCAATCAGAAAAAGAGAAGAGTATCCGAGGAGAATATACATATATTCAATATGTGAATAGAAGAAAAAGAGCGAGAGAGAAAGGTAGACAAGCCATTTTTCGAAAAGCCTATGTTGCATACCAGCAGCCGAATACTATTACATCAACTACAGTCACGTTTCTTAATGTAATTTTCCTTTTTTTGCCTTCATACACACATTCGCTTTACGAATAAAACTTTTGCCTCCTTCTCTGTTTTCTGTAACCGCGTCCTGCCTCTTCTCCGATGCCGTTCCTCTCTCTGTCACTCCGTTGTCCATCTTAGAATACGTCCTCTCTCTCTCTTTCTTTTTCTCCTTCTCTATTTCTCCCTTTCTTTCACTTCTTTTTTATGCATTCAACCGGCCGTTCGCACGAGTTTGCGAACTTTCATGATTCCATGTTGCGTCTTTTCCATCCTCCTTTTATGTCTCGCTTGCCCCTCTTTCCTGTCGCAGGCGTTCAACTTCGTCTGTAGGGCAAAATCCGTTGCGGTCGTTATGCGTCGAATTTACAGGTTAAGGGGTTGCATCCGATATAAATCGTATGTTTAATAATTCATGAATGCAGCTTTGCTGCATTGTATGTACATCGACACGAAACTGAAGCTTGCCGGGGAGCTGTCTCTGTTATTTAATAGTAAATTTGTCGCTATTAACCTGCACGCGAAAGATTTTCAAATACGCTCATTATAGATACGGACTTGTTACATGCATATGTTTTTGCATATAAGTAATGTTTGTATATGTAAATTTATGCTGCATAAAAATACTGAAACGTTGTACCAAGGAATAATCAATGCATATAATTATTAATGGATCACATTTTTTTTAAATTACTTATTTAAAATTATTGTAAATTATCGTAAATTTTAAATACAAAATAAATCATTTGTTTAAATTCAAATTTAGCCTACGATTGATACAGTATTATATTATAATTGTTATATATATTGTATTTATTGAAATTTTATTATATATATAATCAAAAACTAGTAGAAACGAAGAAAACTGGTTTCTATATTTATTAGTTTGATCTGGAGATTTTACGAGTGAGGAACTGCTATAAATACTGTATTAATACGTGGTTCATTAGATG